CAATAAAAATATATATATATATAAATATATATTTTTTAATCTACCTGGAATGTGTTTAGAATAGGAAATTGAGGTAAGGAGCAACTTTAATTTTATTTTCAGATGGCTATTCAGTTATCTCAGCCACATTCACTGATTCAACCAATCAAATTTGCTGACTTTAAATGCTACTTTGAGTATGTACTAAATCTGTGGATGTATCTGGGTCTAATTATTCTACCTATTTCTGTGCCAGTATCAAATTGCTTTAACTGCTATATTTCAATATGCTTTATTTTTTAATATAGTAAATAATATGCTTTATTTTTTAAATGAAATCATATAGAGACTTTGACTTCAGAGAGGAAGGGAGTAGGATAGAGAGATAGAAACATTGACTTCAGAGAGGAAGGGAGTAGGATAGAGAGATAGAAATATCAATGATGAGAGAGCATCATTGATTGGCTGTCTCCTGCACGCCCCACACTGGGGATCGAGCCTGCAACCTGGGCATGTGACTGACCAGGAATTGAACTGTGACCTCCTGGTTCATAGGCTGACTCTCAACCATGGAGCCATGCCAGCTGGGCTGTTCTTCTTCTTTTTTTTAAATGAGTTGAGATAAAATTAACATAAAGTTTATCATTTTAGCCTTTATAAAGTGTATAATTCTGTGGTTTCTAATATAGTCACAAGGTTGTGAAACTGTCACCACTATCTAATTCCAGAACAATTCCATTACCCCCAAAAGAAACCTTATACTTATTAACCCCATTCCCTCTCCCTGCAGCCTCTGGAAAACATTAGTCTACTTTCTGTCTTTATTGATTTATCTATTTTGGACATTTCATATGAAATATAATCATATAACATGAGACCTTTTATATCCAACTTCTTTTACTACTTAGTATAATGTTTTTTAAGATTCATCCATGTGGTAGTATGTATCCGTACTTTATTCCTTTTTTTGGCAGAATCATATTCTGTTGCCTGTTCTTGAATATACAACAGACATGTATTTCTGAATCCCACTAGCACAGCAGAAAGCAAGAGCTGTATTCAGTTCTTGTTGGTCTGGGTGCTCCTGGAGAACCCTGAAATGGAGTTGACAATATCTTCACAAAATTGCTCACAGTTTTAACTTTGATGACCCTGGATCAAGCTTTTTGGTTGTAAACTCATAGCCAATACTGTGAATAAGCTGGCAATACCCAAATCTCACTTTTAAATGCCAACTTAAGCAGCATGTTGCACAAAAGGCCTTTATTAACAAAGCCAGGGAAATACTGGCTCAGGCTCAGAAAGGAGACTGGGAGGGAGAGGCAGGAAAAGAAACAAATCATTCTGAACGAAGCTGTTCCTGCTTGGGATCCTGTTAAAATTACGAGGTGACTTTGGGGAGCTGCATGAAGCTGAAAAGAAATGCAGCTTATCCCCAGGATTGGCCAACTCAGAAACAGTGAAATCCTCGCAT